TGATAGTGTTTTATCCACATATCTACTTAAAAAATGTTTAATCAGAAATCTGAGAGGCATTGTTGCATTCATAGTCTTTCCTTGACTTTCTAATTACATTTATAAGGTAGTTGTTTTGTTTGCGATATTTTTTGTAACTGTCGACTGTAGCTGATTTTTTTGTATTTGTCCCATAGACCTCGTTTCTTTTCTATTTGTTTAAATATGAACTGGTTTAGCCACGGTGTCTGTGGGTTTGTTTTACATGGTTTCAACGGAATGAACTTGTCTATAGCATTGTTTAAAATTGACATGCACGTATGGAACGCATCACCCGATGCGGCAAAATTTTGCTCAGCCAGAAAATTATTGATTTTTCACAATCGTCACTGAAGAAGTTGCGTTTTAACAAGGTTTTCGTTGGACTCAGTTCACATTTTAGTTGATTTTTTCCAATGGGGGGACATGGTCGCTCTTTCCTATGGGGGGCTCGTGTTCCAATAAGTTATGTAGCAGTTTTTTATCATTGGTGAAGACTAGATCGAGTAGAGAAACTTGATCTTTCGGAAACATGTTGGAAAATCAACCATTTGGTAAGCATTATGTAGTTGCCCCAAAAATGTTGATTTTGTTTGTCTGGGTTGGACAGATTAAGGTTCTTCCAATCTATATGCCGATAGTTGAAATCCCCCATAATATAAACGGACATATCCAATGAACAGGCATGTTTAATTTAGTTAATCATAATATTATCATTTTCCTCACTGGAATAATCCGTTCTCTATATACAAGAGACAAGAAATTTGATGTTACAGACCTTTATATCAATCCACAATGACTGTATTGAGGCGAATGTATTAAATTGATTGTTTACTGTAGCGTATACTTTGTGTCCATTTAACTCATCCTTAACCAAAACACACACTCCACCTCCAGTTTGATTTTCTCTGTCTTGGCGGAATACACTATATCCATCTATCCTAATAAGACCATCAACGATGTTCTTATTAAGCCAAGTCTCTGTTACAAAGATGCACGCAGGATTACCTATCTTTTTGTATTGATATTGACCATTCATTTATTTTGTTGGTAATAGATTGCAAGTTACTGTACCAAAAGGTGATTTCAATCTCCGAACTGCTATCCTGATTTTACTTATTAGTTTTTTGGATCTGGCCTGATCTTTATAATTTTTGGAATAGAGTTAAAATATTTAATTTTAAGGTTGCACTCACTACTTTCCATTCGAACTTTTAGTTCGGCTACAACTTCCTTCAAGTACTTCTGTTGAAGGAAAATTTTTGAAGCATCTTCCTTGGTTTTAAACATAATCTTTATAGGCCTAACCTCATTTGTATCATATCCTTCCAATCTGTACAATTTGATATTTTCAGTGGGTACGGATTCATCTAGTGAGTTAATTATTGATACGACCCCGTCCTTCTCTTTTATATTCCGTTCTTCCTTGTTCAGATTTTCTATTTCAGGAACCCCAAATACAATAATATTTAAGGACCATTTCGCTCTTTTACTGATTTCATCAATTGTTGAAACCAAGTTTTCTTTTTCTTGGGATTTAAAAATTCTCAACCTTTTTTTCGAGTTTATTAACACTGGTTTTTATCGATTCAGCTTCATTTTTTATTTTGGTTACCTCAGCACATGTGTTAGCTTTCTTTGAATTCATTAACTTGAAGTTTTTGGAACTCAACTTTCAGCAGTGGAACTTCCTTAATCGATTCCCTCATTTCAACCTTGAGCAGAGGAAGTTGTTTGATGGAGTCCATACAATCCACACAAAAAAACGGAAGAGTGCGCTTGGCAACCTGGATCAATGCACGTACATCTGTTGTTGAAAAGTTAGCACATCCTTCACACCAGACATCCTTGCACGCATCAGGTCAGGTTTTGCTTTCCCTAAATATGCAATCCTCGTGACACTTTGAACCTGTTCCGGACATGATATGGATACTATTTATCTTAGGCTCACTGTATATTTATTTTTTTCCGCCGATGTTTTTCAAGATTTATCACAATTTATTTTCTTCGTCTGGTTGAATTAGAGTATTGTGAAGTGAAGCTGGATATAATGACAAGTTTCCAGAAGTTGACGATGACACAAAAATTTCAACAAGCTTCAATCAAAGACGATTCTGGCATGAAATATATCAAAAGTCCTATAAACATCGAGGCATTATAATCACTTGCAGCAACGTTCTTTACATCGTTGCTTCAATAATCTCGGTTTTGGAGCATTGACAACTTCACAATAAACTCGAGAGACTTTAATTTTAATGTGTACCTACTACCTACATATATCTACCTAGGGTCCAGAGAAAGGCGTGCCTTACCATATCGGCAGCAATGCGAACATCGCCAACTGAGCCAAAAGATGCCGTCTGTCGTAGGAGGCAGTCAACAGACAACCTCTAGTGCAGGCTAGGGCAGATATTGTAACTCCTAAGTTTTCCTTCAACAAACTCTACGCTATGCTCACTAATTCTGATGAGCCCAAGGGTGCAATCAACATCTTCGTAGATGGCTCTAAGTCTTCTCACGAGGTCGGCTGAGGTATTTACTCACGAAGCTTGAGGCTCGAACTTAAGTGGCCTATGGATGGTAGCGTAGTCCAAACCGAACTGGCCGGCATATCTATTACCGCCAAAAGGATAGTCTGCAGAAAACCGAGGACAGAACAATCAACATCTATTCTGATAGTGGACAAGCCTTATCAGTCCTAAACAGCAACAAATTTGCTGCAGGGTAAGTACTAAAATGTCACACTCGCTGGCAGTTGCCGCCCTAAAAAACAGGATTTGTCTCAGGTAGGCGCAGAGGGAAGCACCTTCAGGCTACATCTACGCCTTCTTCAAAACATTAGGCTGGACGATGGCCTGAAGGATTGGCAGGTCTGGGAGGTCGCACAAGGACTAAGGAGTCAAAGGCGGAAACAGACTGAGCTCACGTGCTATCACGCCACAGGCATAAAGTGTGGAGCGCTGTTTGACAGAGTTTGTCAATACATTAGATCCAGACTGAACTTCTGTCCAGCGTATTACGTTACATCGCCAACCGCACGCCTGCCTAGCATGTACTCATTTTCTGCAAATCCACACTTTTTCGTCAGCGTGAGCTCTCGCTTATTGCGGTTTTGTTGAACTTGTGTTGTTTATGTTACAAAATGGATGAGTTTTTAATAGAAAAGTCAAAGAACATGCTGTTTTATACAACCATGGATTGCCTGAATATCGAGATCAACATATTCGCCAAACAGCATGGGAGATAATTGGAAAGAAGTTGGAAATACCATCAGGTAAGCACATTATTTTCTCGGCTTTTGCTGTTGCTACTGTAGAGTGAAGGTTTCAAACGAAGGAAATAATACAGTTTCCATCTCCTCTTTCCAGTTCGAAGAACTAATTGAGCTGGCACTTTCCATTATTGAAAATTAACGAAAAACAAACGATAGGTACAGGGCCGCCGCTACCATGTGTGCAAAGTGTGCACCGCACACGGGCGGCCAAAAATAGGGGCGGCCGAAGCAGACCTTTTTTTTCCAAACAACGAAAAAAATTAATTAAAAATCAAATAATAATAATTCTGTATTTATATAACAATAATTATTTTATAAGCTTATTTGTCTGTTTAGTCTACATAGAAAATACTGCAATGCATGCATTTTACTTAGGTATCTAAGGTATCCTTCTTTTTTTCATCCTAATCCAAACAGAAATATTATTGTATAGTATCTAGCTTTGATACTGATACTGCCAACTTTGCCGAATGTTGGATATTACTTGAAATTTTTGACCAAGTATTTAACTATTTACTGAATACTGTTGATATATTATATTATGGAAAAAGTAACTATGCAACTTTTATAAATTTTGTTAAATATTACCTAGTACCTAGCAGTGGCGGCTCGTCAGGGGAGGCAATGCCTCCTTTGCCGTGAAAAATTTTCCAAATGTTTTTTTGAAGGCTTAAAATAAACATTTTTGGGCGTGGCACCCGAAAAAAAATTCTGCCTCCAGCGGCGCTTAAGCACCCCCGCTCTAAAGTGAAAAAACCTAGGTAGGAAGGGGGCGGCATATATTGAGTTGCACACGGGTGGCCAACACCTTAACGGCGGCCCTGGATAGGTACAGAAAAGAAAAGAAAAGAAAACCTGCCCAAATGTACCATCGTCACCAAAACTATCTGGGACAAAAATAATTCATAATAATCTCCTGGACTAATTCTAAAATGTGTTTTTTTTTTTAAAGATAAAAGTCAAAATGACATTATGTTGGCAATACAATGTAAAATTGTCAATGCTTTCAAATTTTTTATGTAGAAAAGGCTTGTGTTGCCAACATAGTTACTAAATTTTTGACTTGGGGAATTATCTTTAAAAAAAAAACAGACTTTACCATCATTCGTTTTATTCATAGTTTGACAAATATTTGACACTAAAAATCATATATAAAGTCTGTTTTTTTTTAAGATAAAAGTCAAAATGACATTATGTTGGCAATACAATGTAAAATTGTCAATGCTTTCAAGTTTTTTATGTAGAAAAGGCTTGTGTTGCCAACATAGTTACTAAATTTTTGACTTGGGGAATTATCTTTAAAAAAAAAAAAAACTTTAATAGAACAAGAGCTAACATGATGCTGTCCTAGTTACTTTTGGTGACGATGGTACATATCAATTTGCGTATTACATCATAAAACGTGATAGCAGTATGTTTCTAAGCATGCTATCACAGTTGAATCATGATAACGTGATAGTCTGTTCCCGCCTTAATGGGGCCTAAGTCTCGTGACCCGTCCTGGGACACCCTCAACCAAATCCAGATCCAGATATAGGTGTCTATAGCTAGATGTCAAGGTAGGTAAATACAGTACATCGGAACCGCATCTCTTAACAAACTACCTGAAAATCTATTTTATTATTCTCATATCCATGAGAATCTATAAACCCCTCCAACATATATACAGGAGTATTGATTTGAAATAGACATGCTTTTAATTACTCACCTTATCTAAATATGGCCACACTCCAGTCACTATAATACTAAATCCTAGGGACATAATGAACATAGTAAAATAAACTACATAAATGGACCGCCATCTTTCTTTGTACTGCTGTGCAGTTTCCAGGCTTTCATCGAATTTCGGTTCTTTGTTGTTGTTACTTGATTTCATTATTTTTCGAATTTTCTTTACCAAGGACATTGTAGAGACTAAACCTGAAATTAAAGAAAAATTTAATCAGGGAGAATATTTCCTGGTAAAATCTAAAACCAGAACCGTGACAAATGTGGCCAGTGATGTGTAGCAAGCTTATGTAGGTACCTACTAATAAGAATATTAATGTGTACCATTTAATGCATTTTTGAACAATGAATCTGAATTATATGTGAACTTATTTGTTTTATTCCTGTTCTGGTAAAAAAGGCAGCGTTACTTTGTCAAGCTCGGTGACTTTAGTGACTTTGTCTTCAGGTAAAATGTGATAATTGGAAATTGGTTCAGTTTAAAAAGCTAACAGCAAGCAAATACCAGAAGTAGGTAGATGACCAATAATGCCTTTACCAGTTCTAGAGAACATACTGTATTTGGTTACATGTGTTTACGCAACCCGATTTTTTTGAAATTCCCTCATGGTCATCAACTTACTGCTACCGATATTTCGCTCGAGAAACGAGCCTCAATTTTGATATAAACAATACTGCGTTATCTATAATAAATTTTAATAAAAACTAGATGTTTGGCGATGTCTTGCTATTTATTTTTCACATAAAATTCAAAATGGTCGTATTTAGTTATATGCTCATTGCCATATAGGTAGTGGTTGATATGTCATTATAAAACATGCTTTTTCTCGAAAGGTAACTGAATGTGTTTGTGATGAAATCAGAGACATCATAAAAAAATATATTTATTGCAATGGCTTCTCAGATAAGTATCTAGATATTAGTTCAAATTCACCTACTTTCAATTTATTGTGTCGAAATGAATGAGTCGATCAAAGCACGATTCGGTAGTGTACCTACCAAATGGAAAATTTGATCTGATTGGGCGCGTTCTTTTATTCAGCAATGGATTTATCTGCTGCCACCATTATAAGACAGACATTACTATTTTCTATGAGCTAGACAAAGAAAGGCTGATTACTGATGGATCCACCGCTGAATAAAAGAAAGCGCCCATTGTTGTGAATACATATATCCCATATATGCTATTCATACGCACTTAAAATAACTTATCAACAAACACTTATTATATTATAATTATGTTTATTTACGACTGACATATAATGTAAGTATTATATTTGTGATTTTGGCAGTTTAATGACATCTATTAATCCCGCTTGCACACCAATCACAAAATTTTTCAAATTAAATAAGTAGGTAGTACCATGGAAACAATATACCTGAACAAACTCAAAAGTGTCAGTGTCAAGCGCGTAGTGCTTGTGTATTTGTATTGAGATGGATGAACAAAGAGCGTTTTTGGAAAGAAAATTTCAAATAAATTAATTTGTCGTAAATAAAGTAGAGTATACTACTCGCAATAATGGCTATTATTCCCTCGGAATGTTACTCCCTCGCCGCTAACGCGGCTCAGTTCGTAAATATACCTCGGGAATAATAGCTATCATTATTGACTCGTGGTATCATCTACTATTTTAAATATCCTAAACATATTTTCTTAACAAAACCATTATTTTTAGTTAGTTAATAATTACTTAATAATATTTCTTTAGGATCCAGATAAGTGTTGTTTGCAATCAAATTATTTTTTCATTTTATTTATTTAAATGCCTAAATTATAATTATCCCATAATAATTTAGTCTGTATACTTAGATTATCTAAAAACAAGCCTATTAAGTTGTTTTTAAACATAGATCTTTAGACCTTATTTTATTATAATCATAACCATTAAGATATTAATTCATTTTTAAGCTTAAACTGGATCATAGAGAAGGCAGTCGACACTAGACAGAGAAGTTATTTTGTACCTTTCAAAACATATAACCATAATAAAGTTATTCTTAAAAAAAATCCCAACAAGGTAAAGTTATACTTATTTCAAATTCGAAAACGGTTATTAGTGGCAGTAACTACAACATTATCATAAACAGTATTTGCAAGAATCTTAGATTATCTTCAAATTTTGAAAGTGATTTGATATTGAAAACTATTTTATTTCGACACTATGACTATAATCTAGATACTACTAATTAGTCTAAATAGTTAAGACTAATTCTAATATTTCCACACCGGTCGTGCACAAAGTGGCGTCAGCTTTCTGCACCAATGTTATTTCGTAACAATATAGCTTCCTAGCGAAGAAGATTTCTTTTTTCTTTCCTTCTTTTGACAGCAGCCGAATTTTAACAGCTCTAGAACGAGGAAAATTCTTTCGTGCATTCCTATCTTAAATTTTCTTGAGCAAAGACTTTCACATTAGCTTAAAACAAGGTTGAAAAGTTGTGGTTAAAGTAAACCTTTGTTTTAATTCAAAGTTATAGGTAGCGTAAAAGTGCAAACCATTTTGTCTAATAAATCCCAGCAAAACATCCTTAGTTGCGTTTACAAAAAGAAGGAAACTGGATCTGCGAGCTCCCACTCTAAATGGCACTCAATTATCTCTCTCGAATGAAGTTAAGTATTTGGGGGTCACCCTGGACCGCAAACTTACTTGGAACAACCATCTGAACAAAACAATATCGCGAGCTATGGCGGCCATTTGGACATGACGCAAACTCGTGGGAGAAACATAAGGGATAATACCAAAAATGGTACATTGGATTTACCAAACGGTTGACCATTACCATATCAAACCCGTTGTCCATATGAAGTGGTTGTGAATGAACGCTAATCATGGAAGAACGCAAAGCTACCGCAAGCGCACAACGCTGCAACGCATCATTGTGCAGTGTTGCCAACTCGGTAGAATTTCCACTAGTTCTAATGGATTTGAAAGTCGTCTAGTAGAATGGTTTTAGGAAAGTCCACTACCTTAGTGGTAATTTTAATGCATTGAACTAAACAAACACTCTGGAATGGGCGCACTGCTTTATGCAAGTGTGCCAAATTTTGATGTATGCAGGGATTCATCAAGCAAAGTAGCTTGAATTTTTTTAAAAATACTTGACTTGACTTGAAAACTAAGGTTTTGAAAATTTGGTATTTGACTTGACTTGATTTTCGGTCTGAACTACTTGACTTGATATCAAGTAAAATCAAACTACTTGATATTACTTGATATAGTGATCTTTGAAATGCGCATCGAAGCGTTAAAATAGGGGATTCACCGAGGTTAAATAGGGGATTCACCGAGGTTACAGCCAGGCCCGTTCCTGGGGTTCAAGCGCCTGCGTGCAGGATTTTTGATTCCGCCCTTCAGGGTGATTGTCTATATTTTGCACCCACACCTATCTCACCTGTTTGAAGAGATACCAAGAAATGTTCATGTGAGAGTTGTAGGTAATATCAGAAAGTTTTCAATGAAGTTAGTTACAAGTATACCAGGGTGTGTCATAAAAGCTCGGCGAAGTGAAGTTATACTTTTTTAAATGGAACAACCCGTATATTATTAAGCTATCGGATTAGCCCTTTAAACCATTCCAAATATACTAGGTTTTTTTAGATTTTTTCCTCATAGTGCAGCATCTGAATATCCCATATTAAACAAATGATATAGATTTTTTACTTGAATGATTACCTTTATATTTTGCAGGTGGCCACCATATTTCACCTTTTTCAATAAAAATTGAATTATTCCACCCCTTTTTCTCGCATTTTCTCCTGGACTATTAGGAATAAACCTAAAAAACCTAGTATATTTGGAAACAGGATTGAAAGGCTAATCCAATGGGTCAATAATATATGGGGTGTTCCATTTAAAAAAATTCAACTTTGCTATGCCATACTTTTGTGACACTCCCTGTATACTTGTAATTAACTTCATTGAAAACTTTCTGATATTACCTACAACTTTCACCTTTGACGTTTCTTAGTATCTCTTCAAATAGGTGAGATAGGTGTGGGTGCAAAATATACACAATCACCCGGTACCAAAGCACATCCTATTAGGGGGAGGGGGTTGCAACCCAAATTTCCCAACTTTGTATTAACTTAATAACCATACCCATTACACTCCTAACTTCTAGAACTTCTAGTTCAATAAACTAAAAATAATTTAACTAGGTACATAATAACAGTGGCGGCTATAGGATTTGGTCTTGAGGGGGGGGGGGCGAATTTATTATTTAACTGAGTTTGTTAGAGTTTTCATTTTTAGGCACCCCTATTTTTTTTATTTTTTTTTTTGAGAAGTTCATGAAATTGCAAATTCAATGATGTATGAAAAGTTTGTTTTTCCATGTTTCCTTGAAAAAAAAAACCAAAAATGAAAATAATAATAATGGGGCAAATAAGGCAAACGTTTTTTTAGGGGATGAGTTTGTTAGGGAAGATTTTTTAAATATTCTTGAAAAGGGGTTAATTTGCACACAATTAATTTTTTTTGTCATATTTTTATTTTTGTAGACATAAATATGATTGCCTGTATAAGACTAAGGGTGGGACACCCATTTTTTTCCCCCAAGAGACATGGAAAAACAAACTTTTTATACACCATACAAATTTGTAATTTCATAAGCTTCTCAAAAATAAAAAAAAAAATAATAGGGGTGCCATTTGAAAAAAAATTTCAAGGGTTGTAAGTAGGGGATGATTTTTTCAGGGGATGTTTTTTTTTATATTTTTGAAGAGAGTTTAATTAGCCATTAATAATTTTTTTGTTTCAAATTTTTATTTTTGAAAATAAGAAAGTTATGGCCTGTAACGCTGATTGTAGTACACCAGGGTCACACATAGATTTTTATTAATTGTTATTGCGTTTTGGCAGTTAAACAGATTGGTATCAAAAAAGTACTATTTTTTCAAGAAAAATCAAGTAGTTAGCTTGAAAAACTTGATTTTCAAGTTACTTGATGTGTAACTACTTGACTTGACTTGAATTTCAAAAACAAATACTTGACTTGATATCAAGTCAAGTCAAGTAGCTTGAAAATCAAGTCAAGTCGTGAATCTTTGGATGTATGCAACCAAGCAATATGGAGGGATTCTTGTCTCGCTCGCACTAATTGCGATTAATGTAAAAAAAAAGAAGACCTTCTTCATCTTCCTAACCTCAATGATCCAAACACTTCAAACAGCTGTTCTCATAAGCCGCCATAGTGCAGAGAGAGATGCAAATCCCTCTTATTTGTTGTCCTTCCTGGCACAAACCCTTGCGTAGAAACAATTATGCAGCCGCCTTTACAGTGTGTTTCTTCGTTCATCAATCATCATTCATCAATCATTCATTCTACTTCAAAAATCAACATTACCAACACCCTGGGCTTGAACACTGAACACCCATGGGTCACCTACAGAACCAGTCCTTTTTTGTCGATCTATATTTTAAGAGTTAGACAATAAAAAGATACAGAGAGGAGCGCTAAAAATTTCAAAAAACAATAGAAAAAATTTAGTAGATTTTCCACTATAACTTAGTAACTGTACCAAATATCGGAATTTTCCCCTGCACAAAAAAAAAGTCGTGACCGAAAGGGTTAACACCTTTTCAAGGCCTAGAGCCTTTTTGTGGACTAATGGAAAACCTCGTCTTCGAAGAAATCAACAGATGGGAAAAAAGGCGAATGCTAGCTAACTGGAAATCCGGGTCTGAGACAGGGAAAAACCTTCATATCCATCTCAGCAAGGAGATTTGAACAACTTCTTGACATTTTGAGAGATATTAGCACAATCGTAGGTCTGCTCACTGGGCATTGCCTAGAGAAATATCATCTTGAAACAATGGGCAAATTAGACAACAACCACCAGATCTGAGACCTACAGAACATTCAATCTGTGAATGCCCTGCTTACTCCTGCAAAAGGCTGAAATACCTTGAAGTAGTACGACTAACACCCCAAGAGGTGGGGTTGATACACTTTACCACCCAGGAACTAACCCAAACTAACCTCCTTTGGGAGAAGCCTACAAATCTTAGACCACAACTAGAAGCAGAGTCACGCACAAATTTTTCTGGAAAGGTAGCAGCTGGAATAAGCTGTAACGACTCCAAATGCATTCTATGATAATAAAACAACGGTAGTTGTCAAAATTCAAAATTTAGTCATACAAAAAAACCCTAAATTATGTATATCAAAATCTAAAAAACCCATTAATTATTAGCGTCTAGGTACTCCTAGGTCATCGACACCAACGCACCGCCAGTGGGTCATCAGGAAACATAGGAAATACTACGATCTATACCAGACGCAGCATCATCAAAAGTTTACTTACCAAATATTTCGATGTGAAGCATACAACAGATTTTTGTCAGCGATTTATTCATTTTTGAAAATTTCAATATTAAAGAGGATTTCTGTATCTCGAAAACGAGAAGCCGCAAAGATCTGAAAATTGGCATATAGGTTATAGCAAGGAAATTAGTCAACCCCTATTTCAGAGTTTTTTGAAATTTTAACTGGGGGCGGAGAAATTGGGGTAATTTGATTTCGAAAGGGGGTGAAGGGATTTTCTTTATCTCGGAAACGAAAAGTCACAGATGTTTAAAAATTGATATGTAGATTCTACTAAAAAAATAATAGGACCCGTGTTTCGGCGTTTTTCTATTACCTCCCTTATTACCGCCATACCACCCTATGTCCCCCATCATCATAGAAAAAATTGAGCTCCAAAAATATGGGTTGTGGGGTATGGATTGAAGGAAATGAAGCACGGAATCTTAAAAAATGTTTCGTATTTGTTTTTCTATGAAAGTATCTCCCTTATCACCCCCCTATGTCCCCGCATCTTCATGTAAAAACTGTTTTTCCGAAAATGTAGGTTGTGTGGTATCAAACTGAAGAAAATAAAGCACGGAACCTAAAAAAGTGTTTGGTAGTAGTTATATAATTTTTTTATTCCCCCCCCCCCCCTTATATCGGATAAAATTTAGAAAATCAACACAAAATTTTAAAAAAATACATAGTTATTTGTTATTCTACAAGGGAAAAAAGTAGGTATCTAGATTTTAGCGCGAGGTGTGGTTTGTCTCCCGACGCGAAGCGGAGGGAGACAACACAGCAAGCGCTAAAATGTTACTTTTTTCTCGTGTAAAATACACTATTTTCCATCTATACATTCTTTTTTCTGTGACCGTACTTATACTTTTTTCCCTTTGAGAAAAAAATTGACTGGTACCTGTTCCTTTTTTCCTGTGGGAAAAAAAATCACTTGTTTCCCGTGGGAGAAAAAGTGACATTTTTGCCCCTGTCAACAGGTACAAAAAGTCTTCTTTTTTCCCGTCACAGAAAAAAGTGTATTATTTCAAAATGTATTTTCACGCTAGCAACGCAGTGGGTAATAAGCTAGTTGATAATATGATCCTTGTCAATTGGTTTGGGGTTGAACTAGAAAAACGCTGCTTTTATGAAAATATTTTTGAAATGTAGACTAGACCATCGTCTATTAGGGCTGCATACAGATACTTTTTGAAAAGTGTATTTTTTCAGGTTCTACTTAAAAGTCTATCATAGGTCCCTAAGAAACATCCTGTAATCTATAGCTTATGTTTTTATTGGAATAAAATTTTTGCTTTGTTGTAAATGAAAATAGCACTTACCCAAAATATCCCTCAACCCAACTAATTTTATGATAAGGAAATGTGAAAAACACAACTAGGTCACTTGAAAATTAAAATTTCATACACTATTCCACAATAGTTAACATTTTCATATTACGTATCCAAAATATAGGTAGGTACCCTTCACTTAATATATAACAGCGAGGCAAAAAAGTGAATTTGTTATAAACAAAAATAAAAAATAAGTGCATACTCATAGTAGTAAAGCGCCGGCCTAATATTACATTAGGTATACTGATGATAAAAGTATATTGCGTAGTTTAAATATTCTTCTTTTTCAAGTTAATAAATATAATTATAATTAGACCAAATTAGGTCGATAACCAACGTATTTTGGCAGAGGTTTTGGCAAAATACCGGTTTCAAGTCATCATAAAGCATTCTATTTTTAGCAAACACAATTAACATTTCGAAAAGTTTATTTTTGTTTAAACTCTTTAAATGCAAATACACTTTCCAATCAAGCCGCAGCCTTCAAATGTAGGTACGTAATATGCGATTGGAGTAACCAACACATATTTAATTAGGTCTCGGCGTTTTGTTTTACATCACGGTTAGATTCAAATTCAAAAGTAACTCGGGTTAAATGACTTTGGATTTTACACCCATATAATAATCAGATAATGCGTTTAAATTTGACAACAATAAGTGCAAAGCTCTAGAAAATGCATTTATGAAAAATATTAGATTCAATAACATTTACTTTTATCAAAATTACATTTTAACTTATAGTTACAATAGCATAATAGGCGATAAAATGCAAAGATATTTTGTAATGTTTGCGAATTGGAACACATTCACAAGCACCAAAATAAGCTTTGTTTAATTTCTATAATATGTACCTATTTCATTTAGACAAAAGCTTTGAAAATAATACTGAATATAATTATTTATTTTGTTATTAATCACAATATCTTTTTAAGGAAATCCTTATAGATAACTTCTGGGTCGATTTCAATAATAATAACAATGTCATGATTGCGGACCGGCAGGGTAAGGTCCGAGTTCATTTCCGCTCAGTTCTATTATTGTATAGTCAATGTTAAGGATGTAATCATTTATTGGCAAAATGTTTTATCATGGAAAAAATAATTATTATGCGTGTACTTAATCACTGTCTTTTTGAAATTTGTTATCAACAATATGATTATAAATAACTATTGTAAAACCCACAAAAATGTTCATTCATAAATAATAGTGAAAAAATTATGGGAAACTATTTTATTCAACTAGGTATTATATTGAAGAAAAAGTTAACTTCAGCCTTTCCAAACTTCAAAATTAAATTTCACTTACCTTCACTTTATTTAACTGTAGCAAAACTTATCAACATCACTAAATATTTATTATTTTGCATCAAAGCGGGACCACAAATGACATCGTTGTGTTTATTGAATCATAATAGTACCTATCGTTTGTTTAAAATTGAGAAACGTTAAAATTCAAACAAAGGATTTTGGTTGTTATGCTTGATTCAGTCAGATCATGATTAATGAATGAGATGTGTATATACTTTCTGCCGAGATTGACAGAAAACATATGAGAAAATAAACACATTGAGGCTAAAGCACGTGGATTTGTTTATAGTATAACTAATTAGTAAGTCGAATATTGTCTCGTTCATTCTGTAACAGCGGGTAAGCCAATAACGTGTTTCGGTTACTAAAGCTTAAAGCGTTGTATTGATTGCGCGAACAAACCAGCAGGTGCTCCCTTCTCTTTGTTGCAGCTTCTTTGTGTAACGTTTAAAATGAATGTTGAATATCCGTTGTTGTCAGGTTTTGGTAGATAAATTTCCTAAGACTTAACTAAATAATCAATATTTCATTAACATGGGACAACTCTAGATATTATGGTTATTTAACTGGGACATTGGAACGTATTTGATGAACTAAAGTAAAAACAAACAGAGAAAAGCGTTGAATCGAAACTGTAGCTGTAGATGAGCACTGAAGCATGATTCTTGAAAATCAAAAACGCTATTATCATGGGTATGAGTTTCGACAATGAAAAAGATTACCTAAACGAAAACAATGTTCAAAACCAATTAGCGTTGGAAAATAAAACAATACCCATGCATATCCAAGTCCAGAGATGCCTCTGGACTCTAGCCTACATGATTTTGGTTGGAAAAAAGAAGATCCATGGTGGGACTAGAAGCTCTAAGATAGAACCCACATGAAAGCCAGACGCAGACGAGATGTAACTGCCTAGTCAATGTCGGTGAATGGAAACAAGGATGATTGGAAGCACTGATCAAAATCATGGTGATTATAGTATTCCAAAAGTAGAGAATATTAGAACGTTTTCATTTGCCTCAACGCTTGATCATCTATTTCAAAAAGGTACCTAAATAGTTACAGGTTCTCAATTACACCCAGAGCCGGTTATTTTCCAAAAATTTTGGACTAATAACTGAAAACATCGCATATTTCGAAAACTGCAAGTTATATAAATGTAGAATAACATTCCAATTTCCAATATGCCCCCAATATACAATATATCCGTGTGAAATGAATTTTTCCTACGACCACATCATACGAAAATGACAAAATTCGCACTAGCTCGTTCTTTGGAAAGCGCTAAATATCACACGCGTGCTGAAAGTACTTTCAATACGCATGCTAAAAGTAGTTTCAGCACACGCGCGGAAAATACTGTTGCCATTATTTGTGATTATCAATTGTCAATTTACTTTTAAAACGTGGATTGAAAGTACTTTCAGCACGTATGTTGAAAATGGAAAGAAATAAAATAAGAGAAAATTGATGTTAATCGGCTTCTAGTCGTAGGAAAAATGGCGTACATCACTCGTAAGAAAGCGTCTTTCATACACTCGTGATTTTCGCACTCGGCTATCGCCTCGCGCGAAAAAACACTCGTGTGAAATTTGTCACTTTCTACACTCGTAATGTAATATACTATTTCCTACGAGCGTGCGGAGAAGTTACTTTTTCACACGATTTTTCATTTTGAAAGTTGTACTTTTCCGCACGATTTTACTTTTCCGCACGATTTTACTTTTCCGCGCGATTTTTTTTACTTTTCCGCACGATTTTTACTTTTCCGCACGATTTTTATTTATATGCACGATTTATATATACTTTAAGGCAAAATATTTTAATCCAAGGTATAGGTAGGTACTATTTTTTACTTCAAATAAAAATAATATCTGTAGGTATTATTTTTCATTCAGAAAACCTGAAGTTGTACTTTTGCGCACCATTTTACTGTTTTGTACGATTTTACTTTTCCGCACGATTTTAATTTTCCGCGCACGATTTTTTTACTTTTCCGCACGATTTTTACTTTTCCGCACGATTTTTACTTTTACGCTTAATTCAAAATGTAGGTACTATTTTTCACTTCAAAACAAATCAATATCTTTAGGCCTTATTTTTCATTAAGAAAATCTTAAGTTGTACTTTTCCGCACGATTTTACTTTTCCGCACAATTGTTTTACTTTTCCGCACGATTTTCACTTATACGCACGATTTTTTACTTTAAGATAGGTACTATTAGTTACTTCAAATCAAATTAATATCTATATGTATTATTTTTCATTCAGAAAAACTGAAGTTGTACTTTTCCAGACGATTTTACTGTTTTGTACGATTTTACTTTTCCGCACGATTTTACTTTTCCGCACGATTTCACTGTTTTGTACGATTTTACTTTTCCGCACGATTTTCCTTTTCCGCGCGATTTTACTTTTCCGCACGATTTTTTTACTTTTCCGCACGATTTTACTTTTCCGCACGATTTTACTTTTCCGCACGATTTTTTTACTTTTCCGCACGATTTTACTTTTCCGCACGATTTTTTTACTTTTCCGCACGATTTTTTTACTTTTCCGCACGATTTTTTTACTTTTCCGCACGATTTCTACTTTTCCGCACAATTTTTACTTATACGCTTAATTCAAGATATAGGGTACTATTTTTTACTTCGAATCAAATTAATATCTATAGGTATTATTTTTCATTCAGAAAACCTAGATCTTACACAGATCTTTTGATCAATTTTTGATAAATAATATGGACAAAAACACTCGTAGGAAAAACATTGAACCTAACTCTTGCGGAAAATGTCTTTTCCACCCTCGACGGCTTGAACGATCTCCGCTTCGCGTCGTTCGTGCAACTGCCGTCTCGTGCGGAAAAGTACCTCTTTCCGCACTAGTTAGGTAAATAAGTATTGCAGTATAAATTATAATAACATTTTTATATGTGCAAATAACAGAAGCGTTTTCTATTACCCACATTGGCCCTAACGCCTTTATACACCATGATTTTCGTAGTCCGTGGATTAGAAGTTTTCCAGTTCGCAGGTGGCTTAGAAGAGATGGCCAGTGGCGCACCCAGGTTTTTTTTTGTTTGGGGGGGGGGGGGGGTTTCATAATGATGAAGGCTCGCCGCAGACAGGCGCTTTTCGGGTGTCACGCCCAAAAACGTTTATTTTGTAAGTGATTGTATAGTCAGAGCTGCTGGGCAATATGCGATTAATGATTATACCACGTGCAGATGGATCAAGTCCATGCTAAAACACAGGACTATAAACTCCACTATTGCTGAAACCTCTATTAACCGCGACAAAAGGCTTCCCACAGGGCGGAGTAATTTCACCACTCTGGTGGAATCTAGTCGTGAATGAACTTCTGAGGAAACTAAACGATCAAGGCTACATCACCCTAGGCTACGCGGATGACATAGTCGTTGTCATTAGGAGAGGATTTACCAGGAAACCTCATTGGTAAAAATGACGCCTTAGAAATTATTGAGGAATGGTGCACGAGGGAGCAACTTCGCGTAAACCCCTCCAAAACAAAACTCATTCCTTTCACGAGAAAAAGAAATCTGGAGAACTTAATTGCCCCCATCAGTCTATTCCAAAAAACCTTGGAGTTTGGCAGGGAAGCTAAATTTCTAGAGATCATCCTAGATATGAAGCTGACATAGAACCAACACATCCAAAAGATAACCACCAAAAGCAAGATGACGATGTCACTAAAAAGAGCGATTGGGAAAACATGGGGACTAAAACCACTTGTACAATGGATATACACTACAGTTGTTAGACCAATGATAACATATGGTGCACTTGTATGGTGGCGTAAAGTAAACCAAAGACAAGCAAACCTGGAGCTAGCCAAAATCCAGAGACTTGCGTGTCTTTGTATTACCGGTGCACAGAGAAGCACACCAACGGCAAGTATGTCAACCTCTGGGAGAATAGGTACACTACTCTATTCCAAGTAGAAATATATGCCATCGACTCGATCCTGTCTGAGAGAAAACCTGAGGAGGGGATACACAGGTAAAAACATCCTTATCTGTTCAGACGGTCAAGCGGTCGATCAAAGCACTCAACAGCTTTGAAATAAAATCCAAACCTGTCTGGGAATGCTTGGAAAACTTCAAAAACCTAAGTATGGCCAACAAAGTAACCCTTAAATGGGTGCCAGGGCATAAAGAAATTGAAGGAAAAAAGCAGATGCTCTGGCAAGAGAAGGATCGGCAACCAGTTATACTGTCCTGAACTCAATTGGCACCACATAATCATCGGTAAGAGCAAAAATAAACCAATGGGTGTATAGACAACAGAAAACCTACTGGCAAACTCTTCCGAAGCTCAGACACAGTAAGCTAATGGTACAACAACCATCACCTAAACTTACTGAAGAAATCCTACAAACTAAACCGGAATCAAATCAGGCTAATAACTGGACTTATAACTGGACAATGTAGCCTGAGAAAACACCTTCACACAATGGGCATCGTCCAAGAAGAACCCATATGCAGACTTTGTGACGAGGAGGATGAAACCGCCGCCTACATAATCTTTGAATATGAGGTTTTACGCTGGTGGAGATACAGACAGATAGGGCCAGAAGACCCTATCTCTAAACTCACCAAAATTAACACGGTGAAGAGGCTCCTAAACCTAATTTAGGTCACGAAACTTTTCACTCACTAAACAGACGAACAGGACAATACAATAAGCCAACGGCTGCAGTGTTGGGGCCACCTAACACTGAATGAACAGGCCCATTCTGCATCTCAACCAACCAACCAACCAACCAACCAACCAACCAAGTGATTGTATAACTTATATGTTTACCTCGCTGTTTACTCACCTAAAGCCCGGGACACATCTATCATGCATTCTTCCGATCCGACTCCGATCATACAATCAGGGTCCTTATTCTTGGAACAGGGAGCAGTGTCCCCAGGCGTTCTTCTGAGAACGCTGCTCCCCTGTTCCAAGAATAAGGACCTTGATTGTGTGATCGGAGTCGGATCGGAAGAATGCATGATAGATGTGTCCCGGCCTTTAGTCAACTCGCTGTCGGAGGCAAAACCTTTTAGGGGTGCCATGTATGTAAAATGGAAAGTTTGCAGGTATATATTAAGCAAAATCGCAAAAATAGTATGTATATTGTTTTATTAGGAGTAAAAGTGATACTTTTTGTGGCGAGACTAAATGTTTGACAATTTTAGACGAGCCACAAAAAGTGCTTTTTTCTGCGATTGACAAGAAATGTCAGCATTTTTGACCGGTTGACAGGTCGCAAAACTCAATATTCTGGTATTTTAATTATGTTTCAATAGTTGCTAAGGAATCAATGAATAACAATACAGGAAACACTTTTCCGGCCTAGGCCGGGAAAGTAATTCTCGTACTGCTGAATAATTGGAACCAAAAGACAAACATTTAACAGGTATTTAACCGATCGCAGAAAAAATAGTATGTGTATTTCGGTGGAAAAGCACATTCTTGACCTTCGGTGTTTGCCGGCCTCGGCTACGCCTCGTCTGTCAACTTACACCGTCGGCCGAGAATGTGTCACTTTTCCACCTAAATACACAATATACTATTCTCCGAATAAAACATACGATTTTTTCCGTAAACGGTGTTCAAAGCGATGGAATCTAGGAAATTTCTGTGACGTCACTTTTTTGTCTGGCCGCGCGGACAAAAAAATAACTAAAAAAATGACGTCTGTGAAGTCAAACTTCAACATTAAAAATTGAGGTTAAAAAAGTCGTCATTTTTTGACGTTTGGGTAAAAAATAGTTATTTATGATATAAGTGCTAAAAGTGACATTTTATTTTGTGAAAAGGGAAGCTTGGGACACGACGCCGAAGGCGGACTGTTCCATCTCTTTGAACAAAATAAAATCACTTTTAGCACGAATATCATACACTATTTTTTCTACAAACGCACTAAAAGTGATTACTTTTAGCACTAGTGCTAAAAGTAATCACTTTTAACACCAGTGTCATAAAATGGCATTTTAGACACTGACAGCAACCGTTAAAAATGACACTTTTAGTGACGTTTGTAGAAAAATATTTTTACCGGAAAATTTTTTGTACCAGTGCTAAATTTCGGGGGGGGGGTTTAACCCCCCAAACCCCCCCCCCCCCCCCCTTGGGTGCGCCACTGGAGATGGGGGCATCTAATCTACCTGCTAGATAATGTACGGGCTACGTAAATTACCTTGTATATAGGGGTCCCTTAGAGGACTATTTTCAGAAAACATTGATTATACCTTAAAACAAACGGTAAAAGAGTAAAAGAAACCAATCTGACTTCCAAATCTATCAATAATTTGAATTAATTAAATGTACATATAAAAGTTCAATTTCGTTCGGTAAGCCATATTTAAATAATATAAACTTGGCACTGCTGCTTGGATCCCTGGTACAGTAAATACAAGTTAAAGCTCTCTATAATTTCCTTCAATACGAGCTTGTTCGAAGTGCGGAATTATGTTGTCAGGTTGTTTTTTTTTTTTTTTTCTAGTAATTATAAGTACCTATTGAAAGGAAGTCAAGCTGCATGATAAAACATTTATTTTGGAAAATAAAACACAAATGTATTGGAAACTTAATGACCTTCAAGTACTTCTTCAGGAATCAACTCCAAGTGAATATCTGACAAGATCGAACGCTTGACTCTCCTGACGCATCTGTTGCTTCCCCTAAATTCTTTTTGGTAGCCAGGGTTGCAAATACAGAAATTGGGCGCTGAACATACACCGTTTTCACATCCATCTAGAACAAGTCTTATGAAATCCCAAGTGTATTGAAGAGGTCAAATTTCTTACCTTGACAATAGGCAACGCATTTACGTCCACCTCCGCCAGGAGCTTCGGTGTAGCCCTTTTTGCAGGCGCACGTTTCAGGAGCCACGCAATCAGCATTGAGGCAAGGACTGGAACAATGGGCTGTACATTTAGTTCCACTTTTATCCAAATTGAATCCAGGTTTACAGGTGCAAGTGTCGGGTGCAGAACAAATACCAAACTCGCAGCCTAAAAATTAATTCGATCAATTTGAATTGAAATAAATTTGCTAAATAAATTATGCTTACCTCTTGGACAATCGGGAGTGCAAGTTTCATCTTTTAATTTATAGCCAGGCTTGCATGAACATTGGTTTGGTCCGATACAAGTGCCATAACCGCATCCGCCTTTGCAATAGTACTCACATTTGTTAGTGTCCTTATTTATTTCGAAGCTGCAATATATTAATTATCGAAAGCTCTGTTAAATATTAATGAGTATCTTACCCAGGGCTGCAAGTACATTGTTCAGGACCAGTACAACGTCCTCCCGTACCGCAACCTCCAGTACAAACAGCTATGCAGTATTTTCCGTCAGCACTATGTTTGTGACCCCAGTTGCAGTCGCAAGTTCCTGCATTAGTGCATACGCCATTTACGCAACCGATTGGGCAAGTAGGTATGCATTTGTTTGGTTCTTCAGTACTCTGCAAAACAAATATAAACTGGTCAACATAAAGATTTCTTCATTAAATTTCAAACTGCTAACTTTACAACTGTGTGCCACTCTTTCTGTGTGCCATAATAAATTTTGAAATAGTTATTTACCTAACAAATGCGGAAAGTGATACCTGATACGCAACGGCAGTTGACCGAACGACGCGAAGCGGAGTTCGGTCAAGCCGTTAAGGGCGGTAAAGGCACTTTCCGCATGTGTTAGGTACAAAATTTTACCTATGAGCATCTACAACTCCAAAAATAGGCATTGATAAAATTAATTAAATAATCAGATTAATTAATGAAATAAGATTAGATTTAGAAATTATCAAAAATCTATTTTCTGAAAAAGAAAGGATTTTTGATTATAATATCAAATTCTACTTTACCGCACACTTTGTAGTCCACTTTACCGCATACTATGCTGTAAAGTTAACTTTACCGCACACTATGCGGTAAAGTAACTTTACCGCATAGTGTGCGGTAAAGTGCTACTTTCCATTTGCAAATACCTGCAGTAAAGTGCACTTTACCGCACGCTCGTAGGTAATAGTTATTTACCTAACAAATGCGGAAAGTGATACTTTACCGCACGCAACGGCAGTTGACCGAACGACGCGGAGCGGAGTTCGGTCAAGCCGTTAAGGGCGGTAAAGGCACTTTCCGCATGTGTTAGGTACAAAATTTTACCTACGAGCATCTACATCTCTAAAAAAAGGCATTGATAAAATTAAATATTGAATCAGATTAATTAATGAAATTAGATTAGATATAGAAATGATCAAAAATCCATTTTCTGAAAAAAAGAGGATTTCTGATTGAAAATATTAAATTTTACTTTACCGCACACTTTGTAGTCCACTTTACCTCATACTATGCTGTAAAGTTAACTTTACCGCACACTATGCGGTAAAGTGCACTTTACCGCATAGTGTGCGGTAAAGTGATACTTTCCATTTGCAAATACGTGCGGTAAAGTGCACTTTACCGCACGCTCGTAGGTAAAATCATTTACGGATGTGCTCTTACGATCAATCAAGTATAATATGCAGCCGCATCAAATTTCGAAGAACAGCTTCAAAATTTTTCATAGGAGACTTGGAAGAGTTAAAATTAGGAATCAGAAAGGACATCTATATTAATACAGTTTCCTTCGCGTAAACTCCATCGAATTTGGTCCTCCAAAGAAAAGAACAAAAAAAAACTGCAGTGCAAACATGCTACGGCGGCCACTTGAACATTCCGCAAACTCGTGGGAAAAACATGGAGCTTCAAGGGGGTGTGACCCAAAAAAACAACTTTAGCTACTTAAATCAAGAAGAGAAATCTAAGATCTCTCGTGAAAACCGCAGTACTATATTCAAAATAGTATCTGAGAAAATCCCTTAGGAAGATAAATTATGCGGGAACTTGTGACGTCAAACCGGCTAACCGCCGAGATCGCAGCCTCCTGTTCGTTCATTCACACGGGGCACATAACTCAACAAGACATGGAAAACTTCAAGAACACAGCAATACAGAAACTGGGCAATAACTACACAATGAAAACTCCCCCCAAACAAAACCCAAGAATTAAAATAAATGGTTATACTGGAGAGCAGGGATACAAAGACATTGAAGAATGCATTAGAAGACAGAATAATTAGATGGAGGAAAATGATGAATTTGAAGTAACATTATATAAAACAAATCACAAGTAAAAACTACTCGAATATACTCATGGAATGTTCACCTGGAACGTTTGCCAAGGCCATAAAAGTGGGCAGGATTTACCTAAACTACGAAAGGTATCCTACATATAAAAATATAAATTTGAGCCTATGTTATAATTGCCAAGGCTATCACCACTCGCAGTGTTGCCAGATCTCACGATTATTCGTAAGATTACACGATTTTGGTCAGAATTTCACGATCTCACGAATGAGGTAGCAATTCTCACAAATTCTCTCTGTAGTAAATCAAATCACTGACCAAATATAATGTAATCGAGAATAATCGAAATTAAAATCTACTATACAATATTTAGTTATGTTACGCCACTCCTGGGTACAAGCGCACCTGAACACGTAATATAGGACCTTCTTATTTCTTATGGCGGCTATCTTCGATTTCAACAAAATAATATTCTGCGAAAAAAATCCTTTAAAATGATGTATTACAAGCTATGAAAACGTTTTGCAAGTCCTTCAGAATTACAGTTGGAACCGATATTTTGCTAAATTTGGCAACAATGCTCATAGTTATAAGAATAAAACCGAGAATAAAACTAAATAGGTATGATTTATTACCTAGAATCGGTATTTTTGAAGTCTTCTGGCAATTTTACTGGATAAAGCAAAAATAAGTAGGTAAGGTATTCCACATGTTTTTTTTTTGTAATGTAAACATGAATTACAGCTTTTTCTCCTTTCTTCTTCCGGTTTTACGCCTCGGGAAAAATTATACCAATTTGGATATTCCAGATACAATTCTTGTTTTTGCGTGACGGACGAATTTGCCCGAAAGAAGAATGCAGGAAAAGCTGTAATTCATGTTGTTTAAATTACAGTTTAAAAAAAGCAAAATATCGGTTCCAACTGTAATTTTGAAGGACTTGTAAAACGTTTTCATAGCTTGTAATACATCATTTTAAAGGATTTTTTTCGCAGAATATTATTTTATTTTTAACCATATATGAAATGTTGTCATTACTGACTTTTCAAAAATGTCACATTTCCGTCTTTTCATTTTCCTGCTCCATTACCTGTCCCAGAACGGGAAGTGAGGACGGGAAATTTTTTCGGTCCTCCTTTCCCGTCCACGGACGGAAAATGGAGCAGGGAAATATTTCCCGTTCTCATTTTCCTCTTCATTTACCGACCTCATTTGGTTGCCCCGAATTTTTTTTTTTCAAGAAATTATGGTTAAAAATAAAATAGTATATAACCCTCGACGGGAAACTTCATTGCTGTCTCGAGGTTCAGTTTATCTCGACGCTACGCGTCTCGATAAACTATAAAACCTCTCGACCAGTAATGAAGCATTTCCCGTCTCGGATTGTAATATACTATTGTTGAAATCGAAGATGGCCGCCGTAAGAAATAAGAAAGTTTTGGTTAATAACTCGAAAACAAGCGACGATTGGAATGTTTTCAAATCACGAAAATATCCGTCCCAAAAAAGTGTCTTAATAATGTTAAAGTTAGAAAAGTCTAAAGTTAACGGTTTATGAATTATTGACAAAAAACAAAATTGGCTATTTTCAGTTTTTCTCAGATTTCTAGGAAACAGAAAACTTTGAAGCAAATTTAACAACAGGATATAAATGAGCAATAAATTCCCTAAAACTTTCCTAATTTGAGCCACCCTGTATCTCACATAATAAGCGAAATCCCCATGTAGAGACTCGAGTTTCGGACACACTGTATATAGGGTGGGCTAAAAAAAAACGGAATTTTGTTTTTTGAGCTGTAACCTTTTTGTTGTGGAGCAAATTCCTTTTGTTTTGGCTTGTTTGGAAGAGAATTGAACAGGCTAACGAATCAAAGTGAAACTTTTGACATTTGATAAAAATTCAAAATGGCGGACTTTTTCATAAATTACCTAACTTTGGATAGCGCTGGAACTTTTTTGTGACCCCTGTATAACTTTTTCTGATAAATTCTTAAATTTCATCATTTTGCGAACATTTCAAGACCTCGACAGGAGAAATCGGTTGAAAACTAAGTGAAATATTGAAATTTTTGTAATATCGAATATCACCTTTTCATATCCAAAACTGGATAATTTTTGAAAAAGTCCGCCATTTCGAATTTATCTCAATTTTCAAAAGCTTCCTTTTGATTCGTTAAACTGTTCAATTCTCTTCCAAACAAGCCAGAACAAAAGGAAATTGGTCAACAACCAAAAAAAGTTACAGCTCAAAAGCAAAATTCCCTTTTTTTTAGCCCACCCTATAAATTAGAATATGATACAAGCCACAGGACATCTGACATGAAATGTCCGTCAACAGATTACCATAAAACAATTCTGAAGAATCGTATAAACTATGGAACTTAATGATGAGCGCACAAGTTAATGAAGTAAAAGAAGAAATAGAAGACATTGATATGACAAATGCACAATTAGTAGATAAAGACTCACTTTTTAGCAAACTGAACCTACAAAATAAAGAAATTAGCGTGCTTCATATAAACATTAGAAGTATTCACAAAAACTTTCTTAACTTTCTACTTATGATAGAAACTTATAAACTACACTTTGTAGATATATTTGTGTTGAGTGAAACCTTTCAGAACGTATCAGTTGAACAGTGCAATATTGATGGATACACCACATACTATAATAACGCAAACTATTACCGAAATGACGGTGTCCTAATGCTAGTGAGGTCAAATCTTGATGTTGAATTTACTCTCCGTAAATTTTTGATTTCAGAGGTCCTAATTTGCAGGTAGACTTGCAGAATGAATGGCCGCAGAATAGGTGTGAACGCTGTCTATAAACCACCACCAATTTTAAAGCGCAAATTCGTGAATGATCTAGAGCAGTTTTTGACCTCGTTGGGAAAGGAAAATGAAGTCGAAATTTTCACAGGGGATACAAATATAAATATTTTGGACACTTCTGATTCTGAAAATTTTGGATACCTGTCGACTATGGCACAATTAGGGTATGAATCCTATATAAACTCAATACAACAACAACAACAAAAAAAATACAATAAACTATTCTATCTGTATCAGACTCAGACTTACATATTGGATAGCCATGTTACAGAACATGGACCTTTAATACTCAACATTGTGAAAAATTCTGTTGAAAAAAAACATAAAAAGCACAGAAATCTGCAGAACTAAATTAAATACACCTCGGATTAAACAACTTCTACAGGCCGAGGATTGGTCAACTGTTACAAACGATAAAAATCCAGAAACAGCCACAGACCCATTTTTGAAAATAATCTCAATAGCTACTAATCGCGAAGGGAGAAGAGTATGTCACAACATGA